AGGAGGAGGAGGAGGAGAGAGGAGGGAGGAGGGGGGGAGGAGGAGGAGGAGGAGGAGGAGGAGTGAGGAGGGAGGAGGGAAGGGGGGGGGAGGAGGAGGAGGAGGAGGAGGAGGAGGAGAGAGGAGGAGGGAGGAGGAGGAGGAGGAGGAGGAGGAGGAGGAGGAGGAGGGGAGGAGGACGGAGGAGGGAGGAGGAGGATCGGAGGAAGGAGGAGGAAGGAGGAGGCGGAGGAGGAGGAGGAGGAGGAGGAGGCCGGAGGAGGAGGAGGAGGAGGGCATGGTAGGAGGAGGAGGAGGGGGAGGAGGAGGAGGAGGAGGAGGAGGGAGGAGGGAGGAGGGAGGAGGAGGAGGAGGAGGATGAGGCGGGAGAGGAGAGGAGGGCGGAGAGGAGGAGGAGGAGGGGGGTGAGGGGGGGGGAGGGGGCGGAGGAGGAGGAGGAGGAGGAGGAGGAGGGAGGAGGAGGAGGAGGAGAGGAGGAGGAGGGAGGATGGAGAGGAGGGAGAGGAGAGGAGAGGGAGAGGAGGAGGAAGGAGGAGGAAGGAGGAGGAGGAGGAGGAGGAGAGAGGAGGAGGAGGAGGAGGAGGAGGAGGAGGAGGAGGAGGAGGAGGAGGAGGAGGAGGAGGAGGAGGAGGAGGAGGAGGAGGAGGAGCAGGAGGAGGAGGAGGAGGAGCAGTAGGTGGGTGTGACTTCCGCTGCACTCTTCCTTAATCCATTTCTCCCCAGTCCCTTACACTCGCACACCTGGCCCCGCGTGCCCTTCAGGGATATTTCCACAGCTCGGCGGTCCGTTCTGGCCGCTCCCCCAGGCGCTGGATCGGTCCACGGTCTGGCTGCTTCACCACATGCTGCTGGAGGGTGCGTTTTCTCCAAGTGGCTCTGGCACGCGCCCCATGGACCATGAAGCTCTTTCACGGCTGCTTACGATGGCAAAGTCTTCTCTCGCGCTTCCCCGTCCCCCATCCTTCCCTTCCCCCTCGTCCTTCCCCGTGCCTCCCTCCCTCCTCTTGTCTTCCCCGGCCTCGCTTCCTCCCTCCCTACATCCTCCATCCTGTACCCTTCGCCCTCTTCCTTCTTTCCTCCACCCGGGACTTCCACCCTCAGCTGACCTCACGCTGAAAGGAGCTGCGGCGAGAAGTGCTCGTGCCGGAGGTCGCCGTCGTTCCGAAGCAGGTCTCTCTGCCAGTGGTTGAGGTGGTTGACAGGATTATCGAGGTGCCCACCTGTTTGCGCCTGCCTCCTCTCTCCGCTGTGTTCTCACCCTCCTTCGATCGTCTCTCCTCCCTTCCCCTCTCTCCTCTCTCGCCCATGAGCGCGGCGAGTGCAACTCAAACTAATCGTTGCTGCTCCTTGTAACGCCGCATTTGCTGAGGCTGATCACAGTCGAATGACACATGGGGACAAGTTTGAGGTGGCCCCAGAAGGCTGAAGAGGCCATCTGGGGCCGTCCGAGACGCCCAGAAACAGCTTCCTTTCCTGTTGCCTCAAGACCGCCCTAAGCGCCCCTACGACGCGCCGAGGAGGCCCTCCCCAGTTCAGAGAGCGCAAGCTTCATACGTTACCAATGCATTGAAATTGCAGGTTTTCAAAAACCAAGCAAACAAATAGCGTCATCGCTCATTCTAGTTTCATCAAACCCAAGATGGTCCAAGATGCCTTCCAGCCTGGCTGCGCGACAATATGGCCTCCAGGCGGACCAAGAGAACTCCCAGACGGCTCAAAAGGCCCCCTATACGCCCCAAGATGTGCTCAACAGATCCTTCAGGCACGTGTGGTGCCGCCCAAGAAGGCCACAAGACGGCCCTAGATGGGTCCAACATCAAGGGCGCCCTCGAGGGCGCAAAGTTGTTCGCGCTTCGCGGTTCGGCTCCGATTCCTCATCCTCCTCGGCGCGGGAGCGCGAAGTGATTCGCGCTTCGCGCAGCGCGAAGCGCGAAGTTTGCGCCCCTGAGTCTAGGCTCGAGGCGGCTTCCAGGGACCCCAGAGACGGTTCAGGGGGGGCTTCAGACGGCCGACGTGCTCCTCCAGGTTGCTCCAAGCGCCGAGGCAGTGGGGGCGTTCAAGCTGGCCTCGGCGACGGAGCCAACACCATCGATTCTACTAAGGCCTTGGCCGCATTTTGGCCTCCTGGGTGGGGGGCCCTGATTGGAACCCCACCCTCCTTTCGGTTCATGGGGGGCTTCAGACGGCCGACGTGCTCCTCTGGGCTGCTCCGAGCGCCGAGGCGTTTCCAAGGGACCCCAGAGACGGTTCAGGGGGGGGCTTCGGAAGTTGGCCGACGTGCTCCTCTGGGTTGCTCCAAGCGACCAGGAGGTGGCCGTGGCTGGGCACCGGGCGAGTCTCCAGCGCCCACCAATTCAAGTATACTTGAAGACAAGCAGGACACCCTGACTGCAAGACATGCTTGGGGGGAAGATCGTCGTTGCCCTCCGCCCTTCGCCGCCCTTCTCCTCGTCCCCGTCCTTCGTCCTCCTCATCCTCCGCCCCTCAGCCTCAGGTGCCCGTGCAGGGGTACGAGGAGCTGATCGTGGAGCACCCCAGGCCCGAGGTCCACGAGATCGTCAGGCACGTACCGAAGAGGGAGATCCAGTACATCGACAGGCGGGTGCCGAAGCCAGTGATCGAGTACGTCGAGAAGGTGGTGGATGTGCCCCAGGTCGTGTACGAGGAGCGCATCATCGAGGTGCCGCACATCGAGGTCCGCGAGATCGTGCGGCAGATCCCGAAGCCGCAGATCCAGTGGGTGGACAGGCACGTGCCCAAGCGCGTCATCGAGTACGTGGAGAGGATCGTCGAGGTCCCGCAGCCCCTCTACCAGGAGTCCCCAGTCGAGGTGCCGCAGGTGTTCAACGTCGAGGCCACGACTCGGATGCCGGTGCCGCAGATAGAGACCTTCGAGAAGGAGATCCACAGATATCAGGCTCCACGCCGGGGATGCGCCCACGTCCACCGACCTGGGGGCGTTCCCCGGATCTCGCGGACCGTTTGGCATGCACGCCCCCGCCCTCGGGGGGGTGGAAGGCACCCACAGCCAGCGCGGGTCTCAAAAGAGAGTGGAAGGGCTCCCGATACACTGTTGGCTCGCCGACATTGGTCGGCCTAGCTTTTCTTCCGGATGCGACATTTTGCCGGCTGCGCAGGGCATGGGCCCATGGCGCAGCCCTCCTGGGCGGAGCGCATCCGCTCGCGCGCTCGCTCGACGGCATCCCGGTGTCGACCCCGCGCTCCCCGTTCGACACTGGCCCTTGCTGCATCCAGCGCTCCCTAGACCCTCGGGGGCGCATCCCCGGCTCGGTGGACGCGGGCACGGTTTTGAATTTTGGTTCAGCGCGTCGCGCCGCCAGCGCTGGCGCACCACGCTCCTGCGCGACGGGCTGCTCAGAGGAGGAAAAGGCACCGATGCCGCTGCCCTGGTCTCGGTTTCGCCGCTCTGGACCTCCTGGGAGGTCCTCGTTGCCGCCGCCGGATTCGCCTCGAGAATCTCTGGCCAGAGCGCACTCCGGGCGGAGTCTGGGGAGTAGCGGTGTCGGTGTCTTTCCTGGCATCGTTCGGACGTGTGCATTTTTCTTTCGGCGAGGACCACCGAGGAGCATCCTTGATCACTTGGCGAAACAAGCACGCACGGAACCGAAAAAAGCACAGGGAATGGACGCCCGAGCGATGGCGAGCTGTTGCATCGACATCCCCGCTCCCCAACGTCAGCGCCCCGAGCCCTGCGCCCCGGGGGAGCGGAAAACGGCGCGCTGTCCGCTGCCATAGGGCACAGCGTGCCGCCGGGGCCGCCGAGGCGGCACGCGGAGCGGGAGCGCCCGGCCGCGAGCCCCCCGCGCGCGCAGGTCCTGGCGCAGGAGGTCGTGCAGGAGTCGGGTCGGGCGAAAGGGGGGGATTGGGAAAGGGGGGGTTACGAAATTTGCTGCATGCAGCTGGTCTCGGCCTCACCGAGGGGCCAATTCCTCGATACATGGCGGCTCCCGGCGCCGGGAGGCGCCAGGAAAATCAGCTACGTGAGCTGATTCTCAAACCCCCGCTTTGCTATCCCCCCCTTTCGCCCGACCCGAAGGAGGTGCCCGTCGGCCTGCGCGCGGAGCGCGCGCCTCCGGGGCACGAGCGGGCGGCGCAGCCACAGGCCGCCCCGGCGGGCCACCAGCTGCCGACCGTGCCGCTGGTCGCCGGTGTCGCCGCGGATCGGGAGAGGGTCCCGGACCTCCTGCAGCATCGGAGGAGGGCGAACTTCGGCAGCGGCAGTTGGCCTTCGTCGTCGTGGTGGTCGTCGTCGTCGTCGTCGTCGTCGTCGTCGTCGTCGCCACGGCCGGACGCAGCTCGGGAGACTGGCGCGTTTGGTCCTCGGGAGACTGTCCAGCTGGCCCGCTCTGAGCTGCCGGCGTCTCAGCTCGCCCTGCTCCGGCAGCAGCCGCAGCCCCAGGGTCTCCACGTCCACTGAGGGTCCTGGCGCGCGGCAGTCAGGGGCAACGTTAGGGCGGGGGGGGGCTCAAGGGGGGATGCACCGACTCCCGCTCGCCCATTCATTGCCAATAGGGGTCCGCTAGCCCACCCCGCGCCGATCCCAGGTCACTGTTCCCCCCCCCCTGAGCCAGCCCCCCCCCTGACGTTTTCCCGAACTCCCTGGGCCGGAAGGGGGCCCGGGAATGGCAAGTCGCCATGGCGGTGTGCAAAGCAGACTGGTGATGCTTCTGCGCTTGTACAGACACAGCACCGCCAGATACTCCTGGCTGGCCTCAACAGGTCCCCCGAGTAGTTCCAGCTGGTCCCAACATGCTTCCCAAATCGTCCGTGGCGGTCTCAACACCCTGGCGCCGCCTCCAGCGGCGCCCCTGGCCCGCTTCCCGTCTCATGGGTTGAGGTGTTGAGACCACCTCGGGGGGCCTGGCGAGGCCAGCTGGCAGCCGGGACTATTCGGGGCCCACTTATTTCCCATATGGGGTGTGAGTAGATGGGGTCGAAGGATCGCGCCGCATCGCCGATACATCGGCGATGCGACTCGA